ATGTCAGAGTTGAAACTTTGTAGTGCTGTGTTGGTGTTGTGTTTGCCTGTGAGGCAGAGTGAGGCCAGAGGCCACACAGAGGTCGTGTGTGACGGAGGTGTGAAGCTTCTGTCTCATCAGTTCTTCAAAGCTCAGAGTGATGGACGAGCCGCAGAACAAGTCATTTTGAAGCTGCACTTAGAGCTGCACTTAGAGCGTGAGAGGATGACAGACAGTGGACCATCTGCAGCAGCTGCTGCAGCCTGCAGGCTGTGCCCAGAGTCTGCATACTGGCCTGACAGGGTATTCCTCACTCTGCTCACACCTCCAGCATCTGAATAATTGAAGTGCCCTCTGTGCGAGTCACCAGTGATCACACGGTACGAGGCCCGGAGGCAAAGCGCCTCAGGGCTGCATCCTTTACACATGTTCCTCTCACTTTAAAGATGTTCACGTTTAGACACAGCTCCAGCTTTATGTAACGGCCTCAGTGCAGACAGACCTTTCACTCTGGAACTCTGACTCACTCTCACTGACAGCTACATTTCATTAAGTATCGTTAAGATAAAGACTGAGATTATGTTTAAGAGATCACTTTTCAGATCAAAGAAAGACTTTGTTTATCAGTTTATTGTTTATGTTTATTTTATATAAATGTATCCAATGTTGGTAAAGAGAATCAAGTCAGAATCAAAAGCTATTTGTCCAAATGTATCTGACAGGAACAAGCTATTCTACACTCGACCAATCACAGTCATGCACAGGCGCTGAATGCACAGGTGCTGAATACACAGGCGCGTACACACAGGTGCTGAATGCACAGGCGCGTACACACAGGTGCTGAATGCACAGGCGCGTACACACAGGTGCTGAATGCACAGGTGCTGAATACACAGGCGCGTACACACAGGTGCTGAATGCACAGGCGTGTACACACAGGTGCTGAATGCACAGGCGCGTACACACAGCTGAGAATGCGGGTAGAACTTCCCGTTGACCCAGAACAGAGAGGACGCTGACAGAGCAGTGAGTGATGAGGAGATGTCCCACTTGGCGAAGATCAGTGTTTGATTTCATAAATAATTGCCGTCATCAGGGAGCGCATTGTTTTAGGCTTAAGCGTGTTGTTTACCCACGCCACATGTCGGAGGCACAGACAGGGGCCCTCAGGAGCCTCACCCGGGGCCCAACACTGGCTCTGCTCCCACAAAGACACAAAAACAACATGAGCTATTTATGCAAAGCTGTGAGCAAACACATCTGTGGTTAATGAGGCTTTGAAGGATGATCCGCTCCGTCACTTAGACACAAGTGCACGACATCCTGCAGAAGCATCACCTGGGCTGACATCCTGCAGAAGCATCACCTGGGCTGACATCCTGCAGAAGCATCACCTGGGCTGACATCCTGCAGAAGCATCACCTGGGCTGACATCCTGCAGAAGCATCACCTGGGCTGACATCCTGCAGAAGCATCACCTGGGCTGACATCCTGCAGAAGCATCACCTGGGCTGACATCCTGCAGAAGCATCACCTGGGCTGACATCCTGCAGAAGCATCACCTGGGCTGACATCCTGCAGAAGCATCACCTGGGCTCACAAATTAGCAAAAAACATGATGGAATAAAGTGGAGTTTGTTGCTCCCCTGATGCTCAGCTGACACGCACAGCAGAGAGTTCTTAAAAGACTGAACCATTATTGCTTAAAAGTGCAACTCCCACACAGTCTCTGCAGCCACAGAGGAAAGACTGGTCTATCTATCTGCAGGGGTGGAGGAGGCGGCTGGAGTCTGTATCTATCTATCTATCTATCTATCTATCTACTGTATCTATCTATCTATCTATCTATCTATCTATCTATCTATCTATCTATCTATCTATCTATCTATCTATCTATCTACTGTATCTATCTATCTATCTATCTATCTATCTATCTATCTATCTATCTATCTATCTACTGTATCTATCTATCTATCCATCTACTGTATCTATCTATCTGCAGGGGTGGAGGAGGCGGCTGGAGTCTGTATCTATCTATCTATCTATCTATCTATCTATCTATCTATCTATCTATCTATCTATCTATCTATCTACTGTATCTATCTACTGTATCTATCTATCTATCTATCTATCTACTGTATCTACTGTATCTATCTATCTATCTATCTATCTATCTATCTATCTATCTATCTATCTACTGTATCTATCTATCTGCAGGGGTGGAGGAGGCGGCTGGAGACACACATCTGAAACAAAAACATGGGATGTATTTACCGCCTTCACCCTCTTCCTGTTTCTCAGAGTGCACCGGAGTTATCGGATTTTCTAAAACCTAAAATGGCTGAACAGAAAATGCTAATTTCAGGTTTGCTTCACTCTCCCTGTGACAAAGAAAAGAAAATGCTGGATGTTTGGTTTGGTGGAGAGGGAGGGGATGGAGTTTTCCAGTTGGTGCTACGGCTAAGCTAACAACATCGCTAACTGCATCTTTTAGTAGGAAGTCTTTACAAAGCTTCAAACACAAGAAATACAATGATAAAAAAAAACACATAGAGCCACAAGGTGCAGATGACCAGGTGCCACAGTGGGGCGGCTGCGGCTGTAAAGTGCCAAAACTGCCGTTGTGTCCTTAGGCAAGACACTTCACCCACATTAGAATGAGTCTGGTGTGTGAATGGCGGGTGGCAGTGGGAGGGGCTGATGGCACAGACTGGTATCCTCGCATCTGTCAGTGTGCCCCAGGGCAGCTGTGTGAAGAGAATCATTATGAAGCACTATATAAAAACATTGTTATTATTTTTATTTCTCTGTCATAATGTCCAGTAGTGTTCCAAATAAAAGTGCTTTTTGGGGGGGGGGGGTCCTGGTCTCCTGGTCCTGGCACTGAGGTCAGGTCGACATGTGTCCTCTCCAAGGACATTCTCCATCTGTGTTGTGACATGTGTGTCTCATGAACACTTTGGAACCACAGTTATTGTTGTTTTGTGTTTCTTTGATTACTTAGATCTAATTAAAAACAGATGTATTGGTTACTAGTCATTTCACTACATGACCGTGTTGCTGACATTGTATGAGACAAATATCTGTCTCTCTGTCTGTCTGTCTCTCTCTCTCTGTCTCTCTCTCTCTCGCTATCTATCTATCTACCTTATCTCTCTTTCTCTGTCTGTCTCTCGCTCGCGCTATCTATCTATCTATCTATCTATCTATCTATCTATCTACCTCACTGTGTGTTTCTCTCTTTCGCTATCTATCTATCTATCTATCTATTTATCTACCTCTCTGTGTCTCTCCCTCTCTCGTTATCTATCTATCTACCTACTTACCTACCTATCTCTATCCCCCTGTCTCTCTATCTATCTTTCTGATCTCGATCATGCAAGACACGATCTCGATCTCAGCTTCCTGCCATAATTTGTCATTTTCTTCCAGTGCCTTGAACCTTTCATCTTTGTTATGTATCGGCGACATTTGTCATGCACATACATTTACTACTAAAATGATCAAATTAAGTCCATACAGAATTACGACATCTTTCTGCTCCAGTCAGTTACGAGAAGGAGAAGATGCAGCTAATTTGCATGCTAATATTTATTCACGACCATGAAATTGTGATTTACATTCAGCAGATACTATTTAAATATTTATGTAGCTTTTAATAATGATAATGGATTCTTACCAAAAAGCAGCAGTTACAGAGAAAGTGTCTGAGTAAACAGCATTAGTTTGACCCGTCCTTCAGTGAGAGCTGCAGGAGGGAATAAGACCCATGATCCAGGATCAGGAAAACCATCAGGAAAACCATCAGGGAAACCATCAAGGGAACCAGCAGGGAAACCATCAGGGAAACCATCAAGGGAACCATCAGGGAAACCATCAAGGGAAACCATCAGGGAAACCATCAAGGGAACCATCAGGGAAACCATCAGGAAAACCATCAGGGAAACCATCAGGGAAACCATCAAGGGAACCATCAGGGAAACCATCAGGAAAACCATCAGGAAAACCATCAGGGAAACCATCAGGGAAACCATCAGGGAAACCATCAAGGGAACCATCAGGGAAACCATCAGGGAAACCATCAGGGAAACCATCAGGGAAACCATCAGGGAAACCATCAAGGGAACCATCAGGGAAACCATCAGGGAAACCATCAGGAAAACCATCAGGGAAACCATCAGGAAAATCATCAGGGAAACCATCAGGGAAACCATCAGGAAAACCATCAGGGAAACCATCAGGGAAACCATCAGGAAAACCATCAGGAAAACCATCAGGGAAACCATCAGGAAAACCATCAGGAAAACCATCAGGAAAACCATCAGGGAAACCATCAGGAAAACCATCAGGGAAACCATCAGGGAAACCATCAGGAAAACCATCAGGGAAACCATCAGGAAAACCATCAGGGAAACCATCAGGGAAACCATCAGGGAAACCATCAGGAAAACCATCAGGAAAACCATCAGGGAAACCATCAGGAAAACCATCAGGGAAACCATCAGGGAAACCATCAGGAAAACCATCAGGAAAACCATCAGGGAAACCATCAGGAAAACCATCAGGGAAACCATCAAGGGAACCATCAGGGAAAATACATCATGAACGCTATCATATCCATTACACTTCATATGGTTATTTAACACCACAACTCCCAGCGCAGTCAATTTGACGGCTTTTAATTTTAATATTTGCTCATCTTTCAACACTCAATGTGCGTAAGAACAGAGAATGTCATGGCGCCAACGCTTAAGATATTTTTAAACTTGGTTTTGTTTGACTCCTGTCCTTTTCCCCTGTTGATTGATGGCCCCGCCCCAATGAGCTTCACCTGTGTGTGTGTGTACCTGTGTCTCAGTGTGTGTGTGTACCTGTGTCTCAGTGTGTGTGTGTACCTGTGTCTCAGTGTGTGTGTGTACCTGTGTCTCAGTGTGTGTGTGTACCTGTGTCTCAGTGTGTGTGTGTATCTGTTTCTCAGTGTGTGTATGTACCTGTGTCTCAGTGTGTGTGTGTACCTGTGTCTCAGTGTGTGTGTGTACCTGTGTCTCAGTGTGTGTGTGTACCTGTGTCTCAGTGTGTGTGTGTACCTGTGTCTCAGTGTGTGTGTGTATCTGTTTCTCAGTGTGTGTATGTACCTGTGTCTCAGTGTGTGTATGTACCTGTGTCTCTGTGTGTGTATGTACCTGTGTCTCAGTGTGTGTATGTACCTGTGTCTCAGTGTGTGTATGTACCTGTGTCTCTGTGTGTGTATGTACCTGTGTCTCTGTGTGTGTATGTACCTGTGTCTCTGTGTGTGTATGTACCTGTGTCTCTGTGTGTGTATGTACCTGTGTCTCAGTGTGTGTATGTACCTGTGTCTCTGTGTGTGTATGTACCTGTGTCTCTGTGTGTGTATGTACCTGTGTCTCAGTGTGTGTATGTACCTGTGTCTCTGTGTGTGTATGTACCTGTGTCTCTGTGTCTATATGTACCTGTGTCTATATTATATAGTATTTGTACCTGTGCTCCTCTCAAGCAGAAACGTAAAAATAACATGATTTAATAAATGCCACAAAAAGTAGAAATGCAGTCAGATTCCACAGCTGTATTTCAAGACTTAGCACTAATTAAAAGTAAAAACTGTGTCAATTATTTAATTTGAATAAAACTAATAAAAACAAAAACTGGGAATTTTTCACAATTGATTCTATGGATTTCTAAGTTAGAGTCTGTCGGGGTCTAACCAGAAACACTGTGATGGTCCAGGACACTCCATGTGGTCTCTCCCTATGGTCCTATACCATGTGATCTCTCCCTATGGTCCAATACCATGTGGTCTCTCCCTATGGACCAATACCATGTGGTCTCTCCCTATGGTCCAATACCATGTGGCTTCTCCCTATGGTCCAATACCACGCGGTCTCTCCCTATGGTCCAATACCATGTGGTCTCTCCTTATGGTCCAATACCATGTGGTTTCTCCCTATGGTTCAATACCATGTGGTCCCTCCCTATGGTCCAATACCATGTGGTCTCTCCCTATGGTCCAATACCATGTGGTCTCTCCCTATGGTCCAATACCATGTGGTCCCTCCCTATGGTCCAATACCATGTGGTCTCTCTCTATGGTCCTATACCATGTGATCTCTCCTTATGGTCCAATACCATGTGGTTTCTCCCTATGGTCCAATACCATGTGGTCCCTCCCTATGGTCCAATACCATGTGGTCTCTCCCTATGGTCCAATACCATGTGGTCTCTCCCTATGGTCCAATACCATGTGGTCTCTCCCTATGGTCCAATACCATGTGGTCCCTCCCTATGGTCCAATACCATGTGGCCTCTCTCTATGGTCCTATACCATGTGATCTCTCCCTATGGTCCAATACCATGTGGTTTCTCCCTATGGACCAATACCATGTGGTCCCTCCCTATGGTCCAATACCATGTGGCCTCTCTCTATGGTCCTATACCATGTGATCTCTCCTTATGGTCCAATACCATGTGGTTTCTCCCTATGGTCCAATACCATGTAGTCTCTCCCTATGGTCCAATACCACATGGTTTCTCCCTATGGTCCAATACCATGTGGTCTCTCCCTATGGTCCAATACCACATGGTTTCTCCCTATGGTCCAATACCATGTGGTCTCTCCCTATGGTCCAATACCATGTGGTCTCTCCCTATGGTCCAATACCATGTGGTCTCTCCCTATGGTCCAATACCATGTGGTCCCTCCCTATGGTCCAATACCATGTGGCCTCTCTCTATGGTCCTATACCATGTGATCTCTCCTTATGGTCCAATACCATGTGGTTTCTCCCTATGGTCCAATACCACGTGGTCTCTCCCTATGGTCCAATACCATGTGGTCTCTCCCTATGGTCCAATACCATGTGGTCTCTCCCTATGGTCCAATACCATGTGGTTTCTCCCTATGGTCCAATACCATGTGGTCTCTCCCTATGGTCCAATACCACATGGTTTCTCCCTATGGTCCAATACCATGTGGTCTCTCCCTATGGTCCAATACCACGTGGTTTCTCCCTATGGTCCAATACCACGTGGTCTCTCCCTATGGTCCAATACCATGTGGTCTCTCCCTATGGTCCAATACCACATGGTTTCTCCCTATGGTCCAATACCATGTGGTCTCTCCCTATGGTCCAATACCACGTGGTTTCTCCCTATGGTCCAATACCACGTGGTCTCTCCCTATGGTCCAATACCATGTGGTTTCTCCCTATGGGTCCAATACCATCTAGTCTCTCCCTATGGTCCAATACCACATGGTTTCTCCCTATGGTCCAGTACCACATGGTTTCTCCCTATGGTCCAATACCACATGGTTTCTCCCTATGGTCCAATACCATGTGGTCTCTCCCTATGGTCCAATACCATGTGGTTTCTCCCTATGGTCCAATACCATGTGGTCTATTGTGTGTTAACTGTTGATTCTCTGATCTGTGTTGGTGATTTCAATGGTTTTGTTAAGTCTCTGAGATGATGCTGTTGTGATTTAAGGTAATAAAAGAAAAAACG